ATTGGGATATTGTATTCTCAAATTAAAAAAAATTAAAACAATATCTGAAGTACTTTTGTTTTTATTGACCTTTCAAATAAGTAAGTTTCTCTGGCGCACCTGTATATGATGAAAGAAAACACATTGTCTTACTGTACTGTTAATTTTTCTTTAACTATTTCCTTACAAAAACATCTCTCATGTGATGGCAAACGAGCAGGGTCCAAAAATTAGGAGTTTGTAGATGGGCCAGTAATACAATTGATGTCAACGTTGTCGGGTTTCTTTGTAGAAGACGTCAGAAATAATATGGTTATCCGTTTCGAGACATCTTCAGTGATTTTCAGCTCAATTTACTTCTCTTAGGTGTGATAGAAAAGCTGCTAAAATTGTTGGAACTGCGAGTTTCTACAAAAGTACTTATCATAAAGATCAAATCTTCTTGAAAATGAACTTGTATGTACTAGCAGCTGTGTTTTCGCGCATCCCTAGTCCACAGTGCTCTCCTCTTCAGTACGAAGGGAAAACTCGAAAATTAATCAGTACCTTCAAATCATATAAAGTAACTTCTTCCAGGAAAAAAGGAATTAACGCCTTCCCCGAATGATATGTACAGCAGTAAGCAACACAAGAAACCATGATGATCAAGGTTTTTAAATATTAGAAACTATTGAAAATAATATGATAATAAATAACCTCAACATGATGGTGCCTACAAGCGTTTTGGGGCACAACAATATGGTGGACCCTTACTTAAGATGGCTTCAAGTTTGTGACGTCATCATCTCCCTGTATTCCTAGCTCCATGAGTATCCCCGTAGGATGAAGTCCCATGGAGTGATATTCGGGAATCTAGGAAGCAATCTTTCGAAACATTTATATTCTCTGTTCATTCGATTCACCGTTGAGGGAGCTCGCTTTCGAGAAATTCACGAACGTAGTTATGGTAATGTGGTGGGGCTGCGTTCTGCTCTAATAGGGAATTGTCGCAATCGTCTAGCATTTGTGGGAACACACAACTATTGCTGTTAACACTTCGTATGTCCAGTTTGTTTTTCTTCTGAAGAAGAAAAGAAGTGCGCTATGAACTGATTTTTTCGGCCTTATGACTCCCTGACACGTTATTTTTACTCAATCTAGGACGGTCTCTTCTTTTCTTAGGACACAACAAATACAAATTTGTAATGCCAGGCGTAAATATGCTTCCTGCTTCTTTGCCTTACTAAGTTGTGAACTTCCATTGCACATCTATATCACTCTTCTTTTTTTCAAAATTATAGCACCCATGAAGTACGCTCTATGCCCGAAGTCGCCAGTTTTATAAAACGCCATCTGCGGAGAATCCGAGAACTACAAGCACATTTGCTATTACATAAAAAAAGAGTCTCTTTTACATGACATTCACAGTAAAGCTGCATCGTTTAAAGTTTTTGTACAATAATTAACAAAAGTGTTACCGGACTTAAAGAAAGCGCGGAATATGAATGAGAAGGAGCATGAATAAATAAGTATTGTTGAATGTACAAATCTTTTTATATTTTGGATATTTTTTTGAGAAGTTTGACAAGAAAAATTACTGATAAAATTGTATGTTTCTTAGAAATGTTGGTGATGCAATTCTGAACATGCGGGCCGCACATCCAAGACTGCAATTGAATTTGACCCAACTATGGGACACCAGTTTGCCACCGGAGAAGGCAGAGCAGATGGCCCCCTGCACTCCTCACTTGAGTTCTCTTTATACTCGAGGATCATGGCTGGGTAGCCTTGTTCACTTCCCAGAAATTTCATCCATCACTATTGACTTCGATTTTGCAGATTTCAATCCACTGTTGGAGCATTATCTAACTCTACGAGGGCCACTATTGAGAGAGCTAGTTATTGTTGACCAGGTAATTATCCAATATCAGTGACATTTTAGAAAATGTTTCCTTGATATGTGTGACCATAAAACATAATTAGTATTTAATAATAAAAAATGAAATTATTGAGGTATTAGTTATAAATGTGTTTTAATAATATTGGAATTTATGAATAGACTCATTAACTTGAATGTTCACTCACATGGTGAGTCATATCAGGTGGAAAAAAATCCACTATCTTCTTGTCAATTAGATGCTATGCGTACATATACATATATACATATTCTTTCATCTAATATCACCCATGTATTTATACACGTGCACACACACACATGCACACACGCACGCACGCACACAGGCATGCATGCACACACACAGGCACGCACACACACAGGCATACACACACTGGCACACACACGTGTCAGGATTGGCAACACATGGCTCGGCTCATAACGGATCATCTGCGGCAGTTGTGCTGGAAGGTTTTTGACCTCCCACCCTATAGTCCAGATCTTGCTCCCTTAATATCAATAATTTCTTACACCTGGTGAGCATTACACTCTCATAGTGATGCAGACTTGAAAGTTACTGGCAAACACTATTACCTCTCCCAAGCAGAAGACTTCTATGGCACATGAATATAAATGTTGATCCCATAGTGCAACAAATATCTCAATTCTGAAAGTATTTGTGGGGGAACATAGTGCTATATGTGCTGTATCTTCTACAATAAAGTTTTTCCTTGAAATTTTGTTTTCTTTTTGTTGATGACCTAGAGAAACTTGTTGTATGTGCCTTGTATTATTTTCATATCATCACCTTGAACCTTCAAGATTTAGGCTTTTAATTGTTCAAGTACTCCCTTGGGTACTTCTCAGCATTTTCTAGGTCTGCTTAGGTCTCTTCTTCATGACTTGTAATTGAATACTTTTCTTGGCAATCAGTCATTCATTATTATTACTGTCATTGCAACTCTCTAAGAGTCTTGGCCTCCAGAATAAGTCTCTTCCGCTCATCTCTATCCAGTACTGCACACCACTATCTTCTTGTACACATTCTTCTTGTCCTCTTATTCACTTTATCCAACCACTGTGACCGCGGTCTTCTCCTACTACTTGTTTCACCTGATTGCTCCATTAATAGTTTTGGGGGTATTCAGTCTTCCTCCATCCGTTTAGGGTGCCTTATTACTTTTCAGTTTCTGTAGAGCTTCTTGAAATTCATTCCAGGTGGGGTCAATTTCATTATTAATGTGTTTCTTATTTTCTTTTATTAGTTGTTATTTATTATCATTCTCATTATTTGTACTATGTGTAGTGATGTTGCAGCTCCCTATGGGAGTCTGCCTTCCCATTCCCTTCTTTGTGCATGACCTTGACAGGCCACTTTAAAAAAAATAACAAATTATTATAGTTGACTTACATAGTTTATATTATGACTTACGGTGGTATGCTCTTGCCAGTTTTTAGTCAAACACCCGACCATTTATTACATTACAGATTAAAAATGGCTGCTTGTAATGTGAACAGAGCATTTAAATAATTATTTTTAAATAGTTCAAAGAGAAGTATTGAATAGTTGCTGAAAAATGTTTACTAATGCAGGGATAAGATATGCAAATCTGCCCCCGGGGATAAACCTTTTTTTATGTTGAAAATCATACTTACAGTGTTAAAAAATCAAGTTTTTCTCCAGATTTAAATCAATTTACCTACTTGTACTAGAGTACTTGTAACAAATTTTTAAAAAACTCTGTTTTCGCTTATACAAATTTTAATTTTTTAATCACATTACACCTATGAATTTTGACTTAAATTGTCCTTACAATTTTGTATAGATGATAAAGATGTTTTGCGACTTTTTAGCGATTTATATCTAATTTTGAACCTTACAATCAACAAAAAATGAAGGGGAAAATAGAAGAAGAAAAAAATTGTCTCTTTTGTTTTTTAAAAATATGTCATTGTTCTAACACAGATCATAAAAAGGACTAAACAGAAATTGTAACCCTGTAAATGTTCTACAGTGTCCAAAAATTTCAACCTTTTTATCTTATAATTTGCTCTGACCACTGAATGTAAATAAAACAGTAATTTAATAGTTCCGTATTTATTTTCTTAAAATTAGGTTTTGTTTTATTAATTTTCATAGTTTTTCTGTTTTATTTAATGTTTTATTTTAGAAAATATGAATAATAAAACACAAAATTGTAAGAATTATATGATAACTTATTGTAATCTGAATATTGAATGAATTAAGATTTTACCCTAAAAACAAACATGTGTTTATAAATGAAATAGAGCAATATTACAAATAATAGTAAATATTATTTGTAATGGTAATATATATGTTAATAGGCACTACATGATGCACTCACCCATGTTTTTGATTTAGGCAGCAAATTGTGGAGACAAGCCATTTGGTTCTACATTGCAATGTGCAGATTTACCATCTACATGTTAGGCCCAATATTTGATACTTGCATTGTCTGCTTTAACGTCATCAGATGCAAAACGTCTGCCATCCACATCTATGCCAGAATGTCTCGTACATTGCTTCTAAATTAGACACATTGAAGGGCTTGAATCTATGTCCTAATGTGTGATCTATATTCTTATAGCAAGATTAAGAAATCTGTAAGAAGTAGAAATGGTTGTCGTAACTGTGAAAATCTCTATCAGTATTAGAACCATCATTCCAATCACGTTACGATCTATCGTACACAATGTAGCAGGCTAAAGAGATGTAGAAATATAATTAATTGAAATGTCTTTTCAAAGAACTGTTGCTACATAAAAATATTGTTTCTTTTGCTTTCAAACACTGAACAAATTAACACTCCTTCCAAAATTAGTATTCATTTTTGTAGCGATGCTTTTTTTTATATGCAAGAAAATTGAAGTAGCGGTACACACTGTTATTTGTTGAACATTTGTATAATTTCATAGGATTTCCATATGTGTGTCAAGTAGAAAACCAAGAGTTAGCGTTATTATTAAATGATCTGTCAAATCAAAGCAATGAAGGTATTCTGGTAAGCTGTGTCAGTATAAAAACACATTATTTTTAAGTGAAAACCTTATTTTGCTCAGTATTCAAATTACAATGTGTACTAACTAATATTATTTTTACAATTTTGTCTTTAATTATTTATATTTTCTATTAAAGATAAAACAAAAAAAACCCTACAAAAATTAATAAAATAGCAACTTAATTTTAAGAAATAAATTAGGAACTATTAAATTACTGTTTTATTTATATGTAGCTGTTGGATGCAAGTTACTAGATAAAAGGTTGAAATTTTGGGAAACTGTAGAGAATTTACAGGACTACAATTTGTATTTACTTCTTTTTATGATCTGCGTCAGAATACGAGATATTCTTAAAAAACCAAGGAAAAACTCTTTTTTTTCTTTCTTTTTTCTTCTTCTGTTTTTCTCTCTCTCTCTCTTTTTGTTGTTGTTGATTGTAAGGAATCGAATCAGATATAAATGCCAGAAAAAATTCTTGAAACATCTTTATCATCAAAAGAAAATTACAAGAATAATTTAAGTCAATTTTCATAGGTGTCATGAAGTTAAAAAAATGTAAACTTATATAAGAAGCTAAAAATATGCTTTTTTTATTTTGCGAAGTACTCAGGGTAAATTAATTTAAACCCAGAGAAAAACTTAATATTTTGTTGTTTTGTTTTGTTTTTTTACACATTGTTTTTCAGCATAAAAAATGTTTATACGTGCAGAGTAGATTTGCATGATTTTTTTATTTTCATAAGTTAGCAATACCTAATAGATGTTGTGTTTGACTTCAGCACCTGCTCTTTTCTTTTTTACTGTATTGAATATTAGTCTACATTCTTTACAATTAATGTGAATTATTGTCAAATAGTATGTGGTTGTCTGTGATACAAAATTTTAAGGTAGGGTGGTTTTATATTGTACCCTAAGAAGAACAGTGGTGTCAATAGCATGATTTGTCCAGCATAACTCGTAAGCCGAAAGTCAATACTTCTGGTTGAGATGAATTTCGCAGCAGTTTTTTATCAATTACTCTGTAGAATGCCTGCTAAGTTATTTTACATTTACTACCATCCGATTCCAAAAATTCTTTACTACTTGTTGAAAAAAAGAAAAAACTATTTTCGCTATCTTTACTACACGTTGAAAAAAAGGAAAAACTATTTTTGCAGTATAACTTCAATGACTTAAAAAACACATACCTGTAAGAGTTGTTCTCTTAAGAGCCTGTACCAATTTAAACTTTTTAATTAAAAAATTAGGCCTCTCCAGGCCATTTTTTTCTTACGATATTGAAGGACAGAAATGTTTCTTTTGTTTAAAGTATTTTTAGGGGTATTTCACCCTGGTCTATTTAATGAACATACTACCTTAAAACTGTGTTCTTGTATATTCTTGTAAAAGTTATAAATGTTTCCTTTACCTTTTGATTTCTTCACCTCCTCGAATTGTTTCGAGTAATGCAGTTTTTTTTTTCTTTTGGAATAATAATTTTTCTTCTCTTCTGACATTATTGTATTTCTCTTCAGCATCTCTGGACTTCTTCTTTATGGCCTGCAGATATGCCTCTCTCTCTCTCTTTTGCGTCTGTTTTATCTTCATATTTCTTATTATTCCAATCTTCTCTCTTGATCTTCTTTCCTAACACTTTTTCTGTGGACATGTTTATAATAGTCCTTACCAATCCCCAATAGTTGTCAGTAGTTATATTTGTTAGTTCTTGGACCGTTAGTTGCTCGGCTATCTTTCCTTCAAATTTCTGTTTTGCATCTTTTTCCTTTAATTTAATCTAATCCAATCTAATTTTCTTTAATTTTTCTAAATTATATTTTGTTTCATTTTCTTCTTTGGTTTTCTTCATGTTTGCTACTGTGGCACAAAACTTCGTTGATAATAAATAATGATCTGAATCCATGTTTGGCTTCCGGGATATCCTTACATCTTTGAAATTTGTTTTATGCCTTATGTCTGTTAATATGTGATCTCACCTGTGTAACTATTTTTCCATTTGGTGTTCTTGAAGTCCCTTTGTGGGTATCCTTATGTAGAAATTGTATGCCTCCCATCATAATATTCTTTGACATGGCAAACATAGACAGATACATGCCATTGTTATTACTCCTCTCATGTATACTTTCACTTCCAATGTTTAGCCAACATCAACTATCTCTCCCCACTTGGGAATTCAAGTCTCCTATCACTATTTTGATATGCTTAGAGCATTGATCATGTATCTTAGCCAATTTATAATAAAAGTCTTCCTTTTCTTCTAGTTTTTTCCTCAATCAGTGCATGCATGTTAATTATACCGGTCTTGAAGAAAGCACTTTTTATTCTTATTTTACACATTCTATCAGATATTGCTTGAAAGCCTTTAATAGCATTTTTCAGTTTCTATTCAACTACAAAGTCAAATGTACACATAAGCTTCTGAGACTCGGGTTCATGACTACTTGGCTGTTCGGGTGATAACGCGTTGTTGGCTGAGAGGCCGACGTTTCACCTGTTGTGTCGCAGGATGCTTGGCAGTGACAAGGAAGCCTGCGACATGACACCTCTCAGCCAACGATGCAGTGTCACCTGGACAGCCAAGAAGTCAATCACGAAGTGTGACTCACGATCTTCATAAAAACTGTAGATATTCTTATTTATATTATCCTTCCCCTTTCCATCTCATTTCTGGTATAGCCAAGATGTCTATATTATGGTTATAAATTTGTTGTAGTAGTTTCGTTAGAGCACGAAGTTCATATAATGTTCTCACATTCCAAGAGAACAGTTTCAAGTTTATATTGTCTGATCATCTTCAAAAGAAAGAAAGTTCATGGCATTTCCGTGGCTTCGCAATTAGAATTTTTTCCAAGAAGGGGCTGTTGATACTCTTGCCCACCCCCAATCAGGAGAACTAGAAGTTTCGATTTTGATCTACTCTTCTCCTAGGCTGGCTGCCATTGGGCTTATGGAGCCCAGCCTGCCCCATTTTTGAAGTCGGTTGCTACACAATTCTTCTATCTTCTTCCGTCATCATGCTCATTGACCTTCCTCTTCTGGAGTATTTTTTCATCTGATCCCTATCCTTTGACCTGTCTGGCTCACCATTAACAACAAGGTTCTGTACTCTCTATTCTTTTTATTTTCTTGCCACTTTCTTTGATGATTCTCAATTTTTAACACATTGTATTTGTTTTAAGTTTTTTTTCAAATCTCTTTATTTCTTATCTTGTCTTTCCTTGATATTTTGAAAATTTACCAAATATATTTATTTTGAGCATGTTTGATTCTTTTTTGGTCTTTTTGGTTTTGTACCTATGTTTTGCAACTGTATAATAAGGTGGATTTTACAACAATTGTGGTCTTATTTTTGTCTCCATATTTGTATTTTGGAAGTGTCTTTTTATGCATCCACTTCTTTTATTGTAGTTGTTGTAGTTAATTTTAAACACATGTCATATTCTATTAGTGATATTTTGTTCCCCAAACTTGTAAATTTTGCAATGTATTCAATGATCTCATTTTCAGTGACTGTTTTCTGAAAAGGTATTTTTACTTATTAATCCCAGACGTTTTTGTGAATGATGTTTTCATATTATATTCCTTTGCAATCTTATTTTATTACAATGCTGCTCTTTGTAAATCATCTTCAGATGTAGCTAGTGTTACTTGGTCATCTGTTTATAGTATTGTCTTTTTTTTCTAGTGAATAGTGATACCTTCTTCCATGCTTTGATAATGTTGTTCATGAATAAGTTAAATAGTTGTGGAAATAATGTGCAAAGATCAGTATATATCAATTTGTATTAAACTGGTGCAACCATGACTTAGTCCAAAATGTTTTTGTAATTTCTTCTGAAATTCATTCATATTTTGTATGTTAACTTTGGAATCTTTGTTTAAACTCTTAAATGCATCAATTACATGATCTTCTTAGAGTATTTTCCATAGCAGTTTTCCATTTACCCTGTCATTGCCTTTCTCATATTCTATGAACAGGATGTAGGTTGGTAAGTTCTTCTTTTAATTACACGATTAGTATAAATGCCACATCGATTCTTCTTGTCCCTCACCTGAATCCACATTCCTTCTGTTCGGTTATGCATTCACTTAATTAATTATTAATCTTGAATTGAAGCTTTAGTAATTGTTAGAGTTCTGTTCAAAATATATAAAATAATTTGTCGTCATTGTCAAAAGGTATAAAGTAATTTGTTTGTCACCTAATGACCATACCAATGAATCAGATTTCCTGAAAAACTTATTATCATTTCTGAACAGCATTCTTTGTGTCAGTAGTCATTTGTAACAGTGTTAGGAACAATGCTTTCGATGATTTTTTATAAAAGTCTAATTCTCGTTTTGAAATTAATGTTTGTTTATATTTTGTTCATATTCGTCTCTTGAATAGATCAGATCAAGTAAATGCAAAGATAATTATGTCTTAATTCAATGCTATTAGTGTTAGTTTACAATGTAGACTCTCTACACTGAGACACAATGACTACACAAAATGAGACACAATGACTTAAATATCAAAGTAAACAATGTATCAAGTGTGAATGTATAATTTATGACTTACTTTCATGTAAACAATATATACTTTATGTATACTTTAAATATTTTATAATACATTATATTTTTTATTTACTAAAGAATTGTTGCTTTTATTGAAGAGAGGTAAACTTTGGGTGAATTGTACCACTGTTTTACAACAATGAAGAAAATATTATGGAATATTGATTAGGGTATAAAGTTCTTAATCTGTGTGGAGTCATGCTCCCCTCCCCTAAATTACCTTTTTTCATAATCGTACTAAACATATTCAAAATATTTATCTAATATTGACCACAACTTATAAGGTGTATGTGTGGTTTGTGTGTAGGGATGGGTGCATGCATGTGTGAAGAATCCACCCAAATATGTAAATACTGAGTTAAATCAAAGACTGTAATACGTCAGCTTCTGTAATATGTATTATGACTTGTGTAAAACACTTATTAAAATTTTATTGTATTTACATATGATTTCATTTGACATTTCAATGTCTGTGAACTACGACTGTTCTAGTCCTAATAAATGTGTCAGGAGACCTATTGTATGTAGTGGGTAAGTAGGGAATGGGTTTGTTGCAAGCTTATGAAGTGGAATATTTACAATTTAATTTGATGAACACATGTAGACCAGGACATCAAACACAATAAAATAGAAATGTCATTTTGTTAAAAAATTGGACTTAAAACAGTCAGGTTCTCAGCCATTGATTTGGAAAATATCAAAAAAAAAGACTTAATTTTTAAATATGTCAGATTTGTTTTAGAATACTTTGTTTCTTTCCAGAACCACGCTGTTGACTTAACTATGCTTATTGAACTCTGCCCCTCACTTGAACAGCTGGGAGCAAAATTGTGCCAAAGCTACTCGGATATCAATGTGCAAAGCTTTCTTCCACATCTTACTGTGGCTCGAATTCGTGTGGGAGCTACACTGCCATTGATTACACTGCTTGGCCAGGTTCACAGTTTGCAGCACTTGGAGGTGAGAAGTAGAAAGTGAAGAAGCTCACAGGTTTAATATCAATCACTAATGCAACTGCAGAAAGTCGGATTCAATATGAGGGGGGAGGGAAATTTTGTAGTTTTTGAAGAAGTGTAGTTATTTATGTACGCAATGCATCAGTATAAACATAAATGGTCTTTATTTCGAAGCTGGTTCAATATGGTTTTAAAAATTCAAGGTTACCTATGAAACTAGTGGTATTTTCTCAGCTTGAATAATAATTATGTAATACTATTTATACCACAATTTCTCTCTGAATTAACACATCTCATTCATCACTTTTTGTAAAACTTGTTACAAACTGTACAGCATTTGGTGCAAAAACTAAATATTTTAAAGCAATTGTCAACTCAAATTTGCCAATTATAACAGATTTTCATACAGGTAAATCATGTTCCATCAATAAAACTTATTTTGCCGAAATTACCTCCTGAATCATTGTTGCATTCCAATATGATATTCCCTGAAGGCTTGTAATTTTTATTTCATATATTTCCAATAGGATTTAAATAATTTAGAAAATATTAATTTGTAAATGTGAGAAAGCTTGAATGTAAGAATTAAATAAAGAAATATGAAATAATATACACATTCGGACGTTCGAAGCATTCAACTGCCTGGAATTACGTTCACGAAGCACAAAAAATTCAGAGTGAACGACTTTGTTTCTCGTCAAATTACACAAAAAATACTCATATTTTCAAACAATTCAGCTTGACTTTATTTGATGATATGTTTTTGATGAACACATTTCAGTAAGGGAAAAAAGTGTATATTCACAATTGTAGGTGTAGGAAGACGCTAAAACATTTTTAATTTTTTAAAACTTTGAAAAATCAGTCATTTCAACATGAGATCTGCATCATTCCCTGAAGCATCCTTTACGCTATCATAGGTCTAAATTTAATCATAAAATGTGCCATTTTTAAGAAAAATTGTTTCACAACATTGCCTAATGAAACAAAATTTCAAACATACTCATGTTTTTTAACAATTGAACATGCCATTATTTTTAGATCTGTTTTGGACACCTCGTTTGGACGAATTAAAGCTATTGATGTCTCTGTATAGAGATCTGCCTGCAGGAAACACATCTTCAAGAGCATTCCCTCTCTCCTCGTGGCTTTTGTTGCTACAGGCAAGACATTGATGATGGCCTCCGGGCACTTGTCGAAGTCGCTACATTTGTCACAGGCTTCCTGGTGTCCAAACTCCCTGGAGTACGAACCACTCTTAAGACATCTTGCATTCGTATGAACTCTCGCACTGTATCGATAACTATTACAACGTCTATATCCCGCCTGGACAAGTCGTGTTGCAAAGGAACTTGAAGGTATGTTATCTCATTTGCCTGTCCCTTTCCTTATTGTGAGAGACTTCAATGCCCACAATTCCGCCTAGGGTGGCACAAGGACCTGTTCGAGAGGCAATATACTTCAAAATGGTGACAACCAGAACAATTCTTCTTAATGCAGGCGAAAGCACACATTTTCCCATGTTTTCAAACACTTTCTTGTCTGTTGATCTGGCTCTCTGCAGTCCATCCCTCTCTCTACCATCTTTAATGGGACTGTCATTGGCGACCTGCATGGCAGTGACCACTTCCCCATTCTGGTCATTTTCGATATTCCCGACCTAAATGTTGCCCGTCTCGCTGGCTAACCCACCATGCAGAGTGGGAAACATTTGAAAAATAAATATGGATATCGTAAAATTACCCAAACGATATCGAAGCCATGGTTGCCCATTTTACTGATGCCATTCTCCATGCGCCCTGAATTACCATCCCGAAGTCGTCGGGACGTTCACGATATCCTCTCGTGCCATGGTGGAATGCCGACTGTGCCACCACTATGCGGGTCCTGGCAAAAATTGGTAGGTTCCCAACCATTAATTGACCATATGTGAATCTAAGGCCGCGTCCTGGAGAGCTTATATTTCATCATTCTCTGTCCGTACGCGCCCTAAAGTAGTGTGGCGAAAAGTTCAGCAGATCGGTGGAAGATTTCCTCTTCCATCTGTCTCAGGGCTTCTGGTAAATGGAAATCTTCTCACATCACCGGAAGATATAGTTGAAGAATTGGCCTCACGCTACAAGCATATCTCCAGCTCCAAACACTACTCTCCTGCCTTCCTGAACACCAAAAGAAGAATTGAGAACTACATATTAAGATTTCTCAAGTCGCGTGGAGGAAGGCTTCAGTACTCCTTTCTCTATGGATGAAATTTCATGTGCCCTTGCTTGTGCGAATGATTCTGCTCCAGGACAAGACTAGATACATAATCAAATGCTTAAACACCTACCAGAAAATGCTCTTTCTTTTCTCCTCTGCATTTTCAACCTTTATTTGCGATGAACATTTCTTTCCAAGGATTTGGCATGAAGCCATTGTTATTCTAATCCATAAAGAAGAAAAGGAAAGAACAATCCCTTCAAGTTACCGCCCAATCTCGCTCACAAGCTGTGTGTGTTCAAGCTTTTACAGCGAATTGTAAACAAACGTCTGGTCTGGCTCCTAGAGCAAAATAATCTATTTACACCTTTTTAGTGTGGTTTGAGGAAGCATGGACAACTTATTCTCCCTTGCCGCTCAGATGTCCATTTCTTTCGTGCTTTGACAACCCATTATAGCAGTTTTTTTGACATAGAGAAAGTGTGTGACACAACCCGGAGGTACGCCATTTTTGCGGCTTTGGAGACAGCTCCCTTCGTTTCTAGTAGATTTTCTTTTGTCAAGATCTTTCCGCGTCTGCCTTGGTGACACGTTATCCTCAATTCACCAGTTAGAAAACTGTGTTCTCCATGGATCATTTCTGAGTGTCACTCTGTTTGCCATTGCTATCAATCGTATCGCATCAGTAATTTCAGAGCCTGTGAAAGAATCGCTCTTCTGTGATGACTTTATGATATTTTGCTCAAAGAGTATGTACGTTATTGAGAGTCAGTTACAGCTTGTCCTCAACAAACTGGAAGAGTAGAGTGATAAAACGGAATTCAAGTTCTGCACCTCAAAATCCAGTTTCATGCACCAGTATCACCTCCATAATCACCCTGATCTTTTTTGGAGGGTCAACTTCCCTTTGTCAAATCTGCCACTTTCCTTGGCCTGACATTCGAGAAGAGTTTAATATGGCGAAAGCACATTCAAAACTTGAAGAGACACTGTGTATCACCATTAAACCTATATCTCCAGCTTCTCTTTTTGTGACCCACTGATAATGATCATCCAACGCCAAATCCATAGTAATTTACTGGTGCGTCATTATAATTTGGTTTTTTGTTGAATCCCTGTTCACGTTGGCAACGAAATGTTGACCAGGCAGCAATGCTCGCCACAAAGAAAACTGAGGTAGACATCCTCACAGTCCCAACAAATGATACCAAGCTGTTCATCAAATGTTGCATTCTCATGGCATGGCAAACAGAGTGGCTGAACTGAGGTTTTAAACTTACGAAAATGAAGGATTCCATAAAACCTTTATCTTCTTCATCTCGTGGTTCAAGACACGAGGAGATAATTCTGACACGCCTTTGGAACGGTCACTGCCATTTCTCTCATGGACATCTCCGCGGTGACCCACTCCCTAGTAGCAGTAGTTGCGAGACAGATCACACCGTGGAACATGTTCTCCTGCACTGTTCTAAGGTAAGAGATAGCCGCCGAAGGCTTCATCTCGGAAGCTCTCTAGCTTGGTACTTGGAAATGATGAATCTTTTCTCTGCAAGTTTTATAGCTTATGAGAGTCTAACATTTACAGCATAATCTGAGAGAAGAGGGTTATGCCAATTATTTGGCTTATAATTGGAGATTTTAAAGGTTTATCTGGCTCTTTTCTGCCAACCTCATTTTTAAATAACTGAACACGTTTGTTTTCAGTTTTACTCACATTTTACCTTGCATTAAAAAATGTTTTAGTCTGACGCTGCTACAGGGCATATTACCAACAGGGCATATTCCTCCTAAAATAATTTGACACTGGCGCCAACGACCTTAGGTGTTGAAGCCACCTTAAACCTTAATCATTAACAACATCCTGAGGGCATATTCAATAAAAAATCTATGGCAAGAATATTTTATGATTGAAGGGTTGGGATTTGAATTGGAAAACTCTTTTGAGATGTAAGCTGATGAACTTTTTATTCAAGAGCCACAAGTAAATAGAATTAAAATGACAACAGGGAGTCATCTATGAATTTTAAATTGAATTATTGGAATATCACTCTGGACAACAGATGGTGGAAGCCAAAAAATATGGTACCATAAAAACGACAATTTTTATGGGTAATGTCTCTTATGTACCTGATGTTTTTGGCAAAAATATGTTTTGACATATTTGAATCCTCTTTTATCAGATCTCCAAGATATTAAAACAATTTTGGCATTAAGCTTAAAGAAAACCTTTTATGAAGTAAATGAAATTGCTGTTATGCATATTATTTAGACACCCCAAACATGCTGAATGTTTTCCTGTAAAAGCTCCTCAAAGTCAAAAAAAATCATGTCAATCTAAAGCAGCAGTAATTAGGTGTTATAATTTGGTACTGAAAACTTTGGAAGGAGAAAATGTAAAGGAATTTCAAAACATTAAACATAACGATCATTAATAATACTTATTATTCATGAACATATTGAAACAAGTATTGCTTTTGCACTGAGAGGGTATGGCTGAATGATTAAAACATTTTACAAGTTTGGTTAAGCATCATTCAGGCTTTTATCCGTGACTATTTCACTCATAAAATTAAAACCAATGGTGTTTAACTATGCATACAAAATGCCCCAATGAAGGCGGTGTATCTCAAAGGATTTCTTTCTTTCTCTATCCAATTTTTCTTACCGCTTCTTCCTACTGGCCAATCATAAACTGTGACTCATCTATCTTAGGAGGCGGTTTACGTTGATTGCTGTGTCGATGTCCAATAAACACCATATGCACTTCTTTGATTTTGACATAGCTTTCAGTTCTTTTCAATATTTGGCATATTTTGGAACACTGTTGGACTTAATTTTACTTGTGGAGTAGTCGTATTAAATACCACTTGTGTTTCGGAAATTCTCAAATAAATTCCAAGAACTTATGTATTACCTATGATAAATACAAGAGTTAAGGAAGACAGAAGATTACTAGAGAAAATGGCTAGAACACAAGAAAGGAATTCAAACAGAAACAGACTCATTTGTACACTCCCAGACGTTGGAAAGAATTCAAAAGACTAGGAAAAAGAGAAAGGTGGTAAGACAGGGAACACCTTAGTGAGAGGAATTACTAGATTTGAAAAGAACAGGTCATACTGACATAAACCTTATTTGTTGTTGGTGATAATTGTTACAAGATAATTGGATTTGATTTGACCCATCCAAATGCCTGGTATCAATATCTGTTTATCCAAGTAATTCTCTAAATGGGCCTGCATAATAGTGGCAGCTCATGGGATTAAAAACTATAGTTGACCATAACTCATGGTAGTTCCTTTAAAACGTAATCCTTTAAGGACCAAGCATTGAAATAATATTTTTTAATAATATGATGTATTTATTCTAATATTACTCTAGCCTTTTCGCTGCTACGTACCTCTCCCAGCGTTTCGCCACTGCTGGATAATTCTCTTTTATTGCATATGTTAGCACTGTTATCTCCTAATTGTCATTTAATACTGCTGATGAAGCTTAATGACAATGAAATATATTCTATTCCATTTTATTCTGTTCAATACCATTGAAACCAGCTATTGGTCTAAATTTTAATTCTATTATATTACGACACACTGCTTTCTAATTCCAACCTTGGTGGATTGGACATTTATATTTGTCATGGGTTGGATCTGTTACTTAAGAAAAGCAGTTTGTGTAAATTATTATTAATTAATTTAATTATTTTTAAGGAGCACGTGAAGAATAAAATTAAATATTATTTTTAAAAATAATTTCATTTGTCTCATCTTCTTAATATTAAAATATTCTCATTTGAAATTGGTAATTTCACTCACCATATAGTATTTTACTGACAATGACAATGATGCATAAACATATGATTAAAATTTAGGTGGACTTTATTTTCATGGATACATTAGTTTTTATTGATTCAATCACTGAATTAATAATTACTTTACTAATCCTAGGAGTTTAGTTAAAAGTTTTTCAAATCTGAGTAGAAAATCTTTAACACTAGAATTTGGGGTCTTGTAGATGCCAATGATTTTTATGTTCACTTTCATTGAGTTAAACATTTACATCTGCTACTTCAAACGTCATTTCAATATTGATATCTCTCATCCAGTCTATTGAATTTTTTAAATTTCTATATTTTATTTCTTATTATTTGTATATTATTAATGTTTTGTGATTGTCTGCCCACTGAAAAGAATGTCAATTTTCTAGTATGTTCCCAGAAAAATATCTTTTCAAAATTGTTACGCTACAATTTTTGAAATCATGATATTTTGTGGAAGCCTTTTAAAATATCTGTTTTTACATAAGCTGTGATTTACACTTTGTTTCCATATGATAAAACAATAGGTGCCAGAATGAGGCTTGGCTACTAAAAAGACATAAAAGGTTGGAGACATAAGGCATTGGTGACATAAGAGAAACATTTCTAAAACTAGCCATTCCAAGTGCCTAAAAATGTTAATGAATAAAATAAAATGATTGCAAATATACTGCCATTTGAGTAAAGGAGAGAACATATGACATATCACAATAGAAAGAAGAGCATTCAATTATAATGTATTGAAATGACAGTTAATTATTATAAGATTAAAGTAATACAAGTAAATAAATATAAAGAGTCAAAATAACAAATTTCAAAATTTATTGGGCATGTTGTAAATAATATGAATTTTTTGAGTTGAAGAAAAAACGACGAAAGAGCAGAGATTTCAGCCTGCTCTTAAGTTGTATTCCTCATTGCCTATTGCATTCACCCATTGTGTTAAAGAACGATCCTGATCCTGAATAACCCAAATGATTCTCATTTTTCTTGATAAACATTTTGTTTACTTTACTTACATTACTTTTTACAAAGGATGTTAGATGACTTTGATTTTTGTTTGGGCTCATTGTAATTAGCATCACGAGTTACATTAACTGATGTTCTGAAGTCTAGTACTACAATTAATCTTTAGAGAGAAATTTTATAATCCCAAATTAGTGGTGTTGGTGGAGTTTGAGGTTATTCTTAAATCCATTGTCCTTCTTTTTTTTTAAAGATACCAAAAGTAAATACAATGTAGGAATTATCCCTAAATTTTTTACCTAATAGTTGGAAGGTAACTATTCTGCGTGCTTGTAGATCTTTTATGAGAGAAGAAAAGCAAAGTGCTGACTTTAAAAAAAAGCTGCCAGGTCACCTGTCTTGGCCTCCCTTACCTGTGCTATTGGGGTTATTTTCCTTCAGTCGTATTAAATGTTTAAATGCAGATTATCAAATTAACCATTTTAAACACGATCATAATTTCTAAATATTTGAGGTATTGATATATATTATTAGTTAGTGACTGTGGATTAGTACTGTAATGATTGCTGTGTTAAAATTGTGTTTATTGCATATTGTATTTTCAGGTAATGTTGGAAGAGGAGTGCTTTGGAGATGGAGTGGAAATGTTTGATGATCTGGCTATTTCTGAAGCTTTGGTCATTCCTGGACCTCGGGCACTCTCCATATTTCTTATGCTTAGCGAGTGCAATTTCACAGCAGATGCTGCTCATGCATTGATGCTTGCATGTCCTGCACTTCAGCGGTTAGGAGATTTGCAGTTCTGGAATGGAGTAAATGAACATGATGTTGAAGAACTAGCATTAGAGGTTCGACATTGTAATTATAGCTTCAGTTTTCGCTACCATGGTAAATGGTACCCACCAGAACATCATTTTTCCTTGACTCAGGCCTTACAGTGAGTTCAGTTTGCCACTGAAAGTAGAATTTCTCATTTTGAATCCAAGACTTGAAGTCTTCAGAGTTTGTTGTATCATCTAGTGAGCTAAGGGCATTTGTAATTTATATCTCCTTTTTCATTATAATTACTTTATTGTCATGTAATTGTGTAATTGTAATGTACCATGATTGTACAAGTTTTAAGTACAATTTTGCTTTTATGAAATTTGTTGACATATATATCTTTGCAGTGCCATCATGTAGAGAACGAATTACTTTTATTTCACACTGCAAATACTCTCATAAGTGGAAATTTTAAAATATTCATACAATTAAATATATTTACTGCTAGTACCATTAAAAATGTAAAAGTACCTTTCATACTACACGACTGATAAAATATCGCAAAAATAATTTAAGTGTTGAAAAGGTTGTACTTTTTCATGTACATTGTCTTTCTATTTTTTTTATTATCTACATTAAAAATTTTATTTTATTAATTGTTTGCCAAAATGCAAAGCGTGCTGTTGCAATATTACCATGACTTGGCTGCATGATGTTGGGGCTGCCAATTCAACAGATAACAGATGGTAATACAGATTTTTTAACCATATAGTAATTGGCAATTGTATTTAATATAGAGAGACTAGTGGTTTCTAAAAACCAAATGACTGCAAACTATTTTTCACAAATCAGTGCCTGAAAGAGCAAGTAACAAATGGAGTATTATTTTGTAATTTGTTATGCTGTTTTTTTATATTATTTGTAACAGAATATATTCTGTTGTGATTCATACAAGATTTAAAAGACTGAAAATGTGTAGATCAATATTCAGATAATAAACATTGTATTATACGATATTGTAATAAAGCTTTAAAATTATTGTAAGAAGCCCTGCTTACTTTTACTGTTTGTTTCAAATAGTAACCTCAATTTTTAACATTTTCTCCCTATGCTTATTATAGTGAGGAAAAGATTGTACAATTACATTGCCTCAACAATACAATTTCAAATTTTTTGTCATAAAATCCCTTTTTAAAGTTCTTTTGAGTAACTTTTAAGCTACATCAGAATTAAGGTCTAGAGTGTTTTTTCAAAGATGGTTAAGAATGGTGCAGGTTAAAAGAGATGCATGCAAATAAATAAGTCTTAATTGCTTTCATCATTTGCTTTTCTCTTGGTATTTTTAGTCATTTATCACACCAGCAACATTTAAGTTTGACCATATGCCCTTAGATGTAACTAGGTGTGTGGATATATACCATTATATCTTAGTGAAATTATTTTACATACTTTACATAATTATGTCATGCAATTCTACAGACATTTGATTTTCTCTTTTGATTCTAAATTTTATTAGTTTTGAATAATTGAGGATCAGATGTGTATTAGCAGTATGTTTTTCACATTGTTGGGATGTACACAGTGCATATTAATTTGTCATTCTTCCATCTGAAAACAAGAAAATGAAATACATGGCATGTTCTTTAAGTTATATTTCTGTTTTGCTGATGTTACTGCTTTTCCAGGAACTTCCACTAAGAGGACCCCAGACACCAGAAGAAGTATGAACTAAAAACTGGGACAAATTCTTAATTCTTCTTTCTTCCTTTCTTTCTTCTCAAGTGAAATTTTGGTCAAATAGGACAACAGTTCTTAACGCCATTTGGAGTGGCACATCACTTATTGCAGTTCTAAAGTCAGTTTACACAAGAAAATGTAAGTCTTTTGCTGGTAGGCATCTATTGGAATGAGTAAATGTTTATTTTAATTCAAGAATGAATGCGAGTCTTTGCATTTTGTAAAATTGTTCCTTGTAGACTAGCCAATGTGGCGAGAAATTAAAATCGATTACAGAAACTGAAATGTTTTTGTAGAGGGGACCATACGAGGGTTGTGCTGAAAGTATTTGGCAGAATTAAAAATAATGAATTAATTGAAAGTCTAAACATTACATTTTTCAAAATACTCTTCTTAGCACATATACACTTTTTCATCCTTTGGAACCATTTTTAAAATGTGTCCATGTGTCTTCAGGAATGTGTTTATAGCACCAATGTAGGCTTCCACAGCTTCTTCATCCGAAGAAAACCGCTGTCCTCGGATCTTTTGCTTGGTTTTCGGGAACAAAAAGAAATCGCTTTGCATTGATTCCGTCTGAACCGCAGGCGTTTGATTTTAGACTTAAAATTATTTTAGTGACATCGGTGTGGGTTACTGACGCAAAGTATATATCCACGGAGCTGCGGGACGTGTCACGCGTGAAGTCCTTGGTGGTATATGTCTATTTATTAGACCATTCAACAATTCCGTAAATACTGCTACATTACCAGTGAGCGTGGTTTCATTTTGAACGTTTTTTCCAAAACGTCCGTCTGGTGTCTGTGAACTCTACTACCGTCTAAACCATACGTAGGATTTTTTTCGAAATGAAGAAGCCCATGTCAATATGGCTCGAGACGAAACTAAGTGATTTTGAGAAACATTTTTTGACAAAAGAAGTTTTTGAGAAACAAAAACAAAAGTTTTTTTCGAAATATTTAATTTTTTTGGTATCTTCCTACAACTAGAAAATTGATGATAGAGATTCTTCCTTTAAATACAATTTTGTTCTCCACAGTAAGTTCTTTCATTAATGTAGTTAATATTTATATTAGCGGCAATTTGTTCACATTATTGTATTTATGAGTACATGTGCTTTAAATAATGTTGTATAAAGTTTCTCGACAACTCTACCGTTTTCTGTGAAAACTGGCTCAAAATTCCGCCATTTTCAGAAACGCGCAAATGCCATTTTCTCATGAATGGCTCCAATTTTTTTTTCAAACATTTCGAACGGATAGTGCTAATTCCACTCTTTGATATGACGTAAAGATAATTTCGGTGTATTTATTTGTTTTTTCGAAAATTATACAAATAATGTTTTTAAATTATTTCTTACACCTTTAATATGCACATTTTCAGCGATTTGTAAACACTTTCATTTGTGACTGGAAGTACTTGAAATGACTTTATATTAATTTTTTCAGAAACTCAATAGTTTTTTGTGAAAAGAGGTTCAAATTTCGCATTTACAGTAGAGCTTAAACACCATTTTCTTTAAAAAAAAAAGCTTCAAATTTTTCAAAGAAAGTTGCCATTTAGGACGAAGTTTTACTGTTCTTTAATAATTATAAAACAATATTTTCGCTGTACAATTAGGAAAGCAAAAAAAATAAGAAAAAGTCAAAAAAATGTACTTTGGCCATAGATGGCAACTGGCAAGAGTATGTGGCAAGTCCGAGTAGCTAGCCGAGAACAAAGGAAATAAAAAACTAATACGGCAAAGTCTGCCACTCTGTAGAAACACTAGCTTCGAATATCTTAATAGTTTTCGAACAATTTCGATTGAAATGATTGAGTATATGGGAACTAAAAATGGTGAATTATCGAAAATGTTCTAACCAAATTTTCTCAAAAACTATGGAACATTTCTCCCCGAAATTCCCTACAATTCTCTCCGAAATTCCGAAAGCTTGTTTTCGACCAAGATATTTTTGACACGAAAAAAAATGTTGAAAAATGTAGGTGTATTTTTTAATCACGCACAGAATAAATAGTATTTATTGCTCAAAAACGAAAAGTGTGAATTGAAAAGTTCTCTAAATATTTTGTCTTATAACATTTTTTCAATTTTTTGTAAATATTACCACAAATGTAATTTTTTTACACGTTCGCTTAAGAATTTGCAAGTGGTTTACGTTGGTTACCATGACAATGTTATTTACAATGTGTTTGTTTTGAATAGAATGAACATGGCAGCACTTGAAGTTTTCGAGATAATCGTCTTCTATATTATTTCAGTAGTAAACATACTTTTTGCGACGATCACTAGCAACCAATCTTTATAAGCGAAGTCTCCAATGAAAGAAAATCTCTCGTAGACGTGATGAATTGCATTTTTACTTTTAAAATGTGAAGGATTTGTTGAAAAACGTTGAACGTTTAAATATGCAACTCCCAACTTATTGTCAAAATTTAGTTTCAAAAAATTCAATTTGTTGTTAAATAACTTCTGAACAAAGTGCTGTAGGGCCTTAAAAACTAAAATTTTGAGACCAAAGGCCTCAGGGCAACGTTTTTTACACGATAATCTACAGGATGAGATATTTTTGGACGTACAATTACATTCATTTTTGCCGGTTATCGATATTATCAAATTCCAACTACATTACTCGGCGAAGTCGTAGGCTTCCGCGGCCGGACTCATGTAAATGATCTTGGCTGTCGGGTTGACGCCGCGTCGAAGGCTGTGTTGCCGACGTTTCGACCATCTTATCGTGGTCTTCTTCAGTAGACCAGCCCTGAAGAAGACCACGATAAGATGGGCGAAATATCGGCAACAAAGTATTCGACGTGACGTCACCCGGACAGCCAAGATCATTTACGTTACTCGGCACTGGAGGCGATCTTTGTGACGACACGCTTAGAAGGCTTAGATTTCTCCAACATATATTTATGCTTTCTGTGTATACTGTGGTTTCCCCCGACTGATGAGGTTTATTTGAATAATCATTAAGTCAAGATTATGCATGTGCCTTCGCAGCAACAAGAAGTATTAATAGTTGCTTGCTACAGATGAAGATTGCTTTTTATGTGTATAGTGCTACCGTTCATTTGTCGAATGTAAGTATTGACATTCTTGAATCTATGAAAAGTTTATGATGTAACCTACAGTATCTACAGAATCAGTAGTATGCAGAATCTGCAACTGTATGTGAAATGAAACTAATTACTTGATATTCTAGGCGATGAAATTGCACGGATGTACCTTGAAAAATAGGCACGAAAAATTTTAATGAAATTAATTTTAGTGAACTAATGAAAAAATATTTTCAAAAATATATTTTCGAGAAAAGGGGCAACATTTTTACCGTTTTCTTGTGAAAATTATGTGACAGTGGCTTTATATAAAGTACTCCTAAAAATTGAAATATACGTTTCAAATTCGAGAGGCCACGGCATCTGGAAGATGGAGTGGGAAATATCCGTTTAGTTCAAAATCTTTTGCACGATTAAGGCGCGGAGGGACTGCCGAAAACAATTTTTTCAGTATCATGAACCTACAAATCGTACATTAACTGTCATTTTTGATAAATTATTTTATTCCTTTCTGGATATTCGTAAGTCCTTTTTTAGGTATCGGAGATTCACAAAACGAGTTTTTCAATTGAAAAATTGGAACTTTTTCTCTAGCATTACTCAATTTCCTCTTAGAATACCAAATAAAATTGAAGTGGTAATTTTACTTAAGACAATTTATGTGAAGAAAACGGCCATAAATGGAATAGAGCAGGTTGGAAAGAGAGTGAACTTGGAAATGCGGTAGATATGTCCGCAAAGAGATGGCAATGGGAACCACCAATAATTCGAAAGAGAAATCTATAGTTTTGAAGACCAGCATAAAAACGACATTTTTCGTTGTAGTAAATCGTTCATAACATGGCATTTAATGGCACAGATTTTGACGTATTAGCCGTCCCATGGCACGAACGTCGTCGCACACACAGCGAATGACGATTGTTTTTCGCATAAATGTCAAATTCGCGTTACGTGATAATACCAATGTCAATGTTGAAAACTACAAAACTTTATTTACGAAATTTGTTTCCAAAATTAAGTGTGATGCGTTGATAAATTTATGTTACTGGTTTACACACACACACAAATAAAAGAAGCGTATACAACTCGTATCTAATGTTGGTTTATTGGATTCATACAAGTTTGAAAATTTGCTTTAACGTCGATATTTTTCAAAAATATGTATTGTACTTGTGCAATGAAATTGCCGTTTTTAAAGAAGTTGCTTAATATATTCAAAGTGGTAAAAGATATAGAGTGGAGCAACCCTG